AAAAGCAGAGAGCTAAGGGCCTAGGTAGTAATAGTGTAAAGACTTACTTATGACATATCCACATTATGAAAAATAATCAGCCTAGAGCTTTTACTAGCTAAACTTGGATGTTCGTAATGACAAGACCAGAAAAGAATGCTAGGAAGAATTTCACCTTTATTTATCCACTGCATAACAGATTGGCATGGACATGGGAAAGGTCAAGAAGTAAGGATTATTCATTATTTTCTTTCAAGAAAAGATTTAAGGATATTTCAAGGCCAGGTTGGATGAGGCCTTGGGTAATATGGTTTAGAGCGAGGTGTCCCTGCCCATGGCAGGGGGGTTGGAACTTGATGATCTTAAGGTCCTTTCCAACCCTAACTATTCTATGATTCTATGTTTCTATGATATGAAATTAAGTAATCAGGTCAAATTTTAAAACAAATATTCTTTCTTGAGCAACACATAGTCTGTGGAGTCTCATTGCTGCAAGATATTGGGAATACCAAAAGCACTAATGGGTTAAAAATTATAGTAAAGAATTGCATGGCATGAAAGTCCACTGTAGCTTATTAACCATAAATATATACATTCAACTTCCAATTTTGTGTTCCTAACCTTGCAGGTTACCAGAAATATCTCTAGTCTGCCTAGGGACTCACACTTTATGCTTGTCCTGTTACACAGATTCATGATGCTTTCTTGCCCAGCTGTTGCCAGAAACAGAACGTTAGACTAAGCATGTCTTTGATCTCCCCCAGTCCAGACAGACTTCTGTTCTTATGTCAGTGAAAGGAGAAATGATAGAGCTCTAGACACTATAAACGCAGAAAACAGAGATAGCATTTTCTTTATGCTCAGGAGACGAGCACTGTAGTATTCATTCTTGCTACCTGCAACAACAGTGAAATGTATATGCTAATTTCTTACATAATTGAAAGAACAAATTTAATTTTATTCCTAAATAACCTTGTAATTTAATGGATTAAGAGTTGATGCCAATTTTATTTATTTGCTCCTGCTAAGTAGCAGGGCAAGCATATGCAATTCAAAGAGAAAACAAAGGGAAAAAAATTCTGAGCCTTTCTGCTGTTTCTAAGCGGTTTGCTCTTTATCGGCATGTCTTTTCCAATCTAGCTGATTCTGACTCTATGCATCCTGATGTCCGTGGCTATTACTTGAAGTAGTATCAAAACTGGCCACTTGAGGGCAATACTGTAACTGAATCGTCACAGTGTTCGGTTCTCCGCCAGAATTGCACAACATATTAAAAGACGTATTGCCTGGATAGGTGAGGGTCCCGTTTTATTTGCATATATGTTAAGTAAAAAATATATTTCTCTTTACTCAAGTTTCCAAATGCTTAATACACAGAGAGAGAATTTCAGTGGTAGTTATAGTGACTTATATCACAGCAAGCTTAACAGCAAACTGCTTTAATAAATTTACTTCACTGCACAACTGGAAAATCACTTAAAAGCACAGTTTCAACTGAGCATATCGAGGATTATGCAAGAGCAGCAGTCAAAGAATTCAAATCCAGGAGGTACCTGACTGTCTATTTTGGGTGAGCAGGGGCTGTGGGTAGTGGCCAACAGCACAGAAGAACCTTCCAAGGTGACGCAGGATGTGGCACCACTACAGTCCACAAAAGTGCATCCCTTCATTAAGAACTGGGACCAGGTTGTGAAAGGTTAATAGGAGGGCAAAAGGAGCACTTCACAGTGTGTTAAACCTTGAGATACTTAATCATAAATGACTGTTTTGCACACCAGCTTCTATAAAACAGAAAATTATTGCAGGGTCAGCCTTCTGCTCAAGAGACCTGCATAATGCTGATTAACGCAAATGGAATTATTGCATATGTTGACAGAGACCCACCCTTTGATTGGTACCTTATGCAAAATAGAAAGCTTCCATTTCATTATTAATTTTTCAATGCACAGATGGTCTAAATAAAGGGTTTCCAAATTTCCTCAAGGAAATAAGGCTATTATGCAAGTCTCACTCCAAAACATTCATGTGGCAGAAAGCCATTCTCTCCCCTGTACCTCCTGAATCTTCTCATCCAGGGCATAAATCTAGAGATGCACTTTTCCTACCCCTTGACTACACACAAAATCCTCATGCCAGCTCAGAATATTCCTTTTTTTTTGCTTTCTGAACCGAGATACTAAAATATGTATAATCCAAAGAAAACCTGGCAGCTGGTGAACAAAACACACTTGAACTCTTCCTGAACTGCCATTTGGCCAATGCTTATTGAAGGCGTCATTCTGAAGCCTTGCCACTATGATTAGGATAAGTAAATATGAGTTGTAAAAACCATTCACAATAGTTTACTAACAAGCAGTGGAGAAGGCAATATTATTTAATTCATTAAACTCAAGGTTTCTCTTTACACAGCTTCTCTTAATAATTTGAAATCATCTGGTACCCCATCTCCAGTCTTCTTAGAAGTTTCTCCTTTGTATATACCACACTCTGGTTACTTCTAGCAACTCTAAAGGATTGTTGTACATATGGGATCAAATTAAACTTAATATAATAAGTTTGTGATAGTTATGTTATAACCAAGTTAACCAGAACTGGGGATGAGTTTCTTATGAGTTTCTTTCTTATAGTCTAATTATACTGGTAAGAAAATTTGTTGACTAGAAACCTATATACACTGAGGAGGTCCCAAATTATTGTGCAACATTACTGAAAGCAGCACATCCATAACTGCAATGCAGTAGATAAAAATTATTCTCATATGTTCATTTTAAAAAAAGAATACAGTCAGCTGCTTTTGGGGAAAAACATATTGAACACTAGGAAATCTTTCCAGACCAAAGTCTCCTTTATAGGTGTGTTCAGTCCCCAGTGACACCAATGGGTATTCTTGTCAGTCAGTGGGAGAACAGGTCTTTAAAGACACTTTCGGTCTTTACTATTGACAGGTTGGAGCTTGACAACCTAACAAGCAGTTTTCCTTCCTGCACAGTGGAGTTGGCAGAAACTGAAAGCTCTTAGTAGTTTCAGTTTTTTAGGACCAGGTTCCTCAGCTGATGCAAAAGTACGTAGCTCCACTGGCTGCTGTGGGAGAGGAGATCACTCTGCTGGCACTGTAAATGCTACTGGCAACAAGTGACAGCTACATGAAGTTGATGAGAAACTTGATGTAACGTCATCCCAAAGGACATCAGTGGTTGAAATCAAGCCTTCTTTCAAGCACTGTTTGCTGACTGATGATCTGCCTGATGCCTCTGCACCAAGCACAGAAGCCTCTTTATGATTTTCCCAGCAGTGCTTCCTGGCCACTCCATGAATTCTCAGTGTCCCACTTCTCTGGAAGATTCACTGACTCCTCCCATGTTCTTTACAGGGCATACTGTTCATGCTGAGAGACAGCCTTACACACCCCACATTTCATCATTTTGTTAATCTTCATTTCAATCTATACATCACTCCAAATGCGCTTTCTGTGGTGCCTACTTTTTGTTTATTTCTTGCCATTTTGACAAGTCTGTGTAAAGCTGTGGAAGATACAACACCACAGCAACGGTAACCAGATTGGAACTACTGTAGATGTGCTGCTCTTTCTATCTATCACGTTTATTGCTGCTTCAGCTGCCAAAGTGCTCTATAAATGGTGGCTGGTGCCCCAGTCAGCAGACTTCACTCAGTGGGGATTATTTCAGAGTCATATCACAATTACTAATGACTACTAGCCTTTAAAGTAGTCCCTTCTTCAGCAGCAATGGTGAAGCTGCTGGACATTGTGCCATTTTAATAAACATAAAATTGAACCCCAAGTTTTGAAAGCGAGTGACCATTAATCTTAACAGAAGAAAATAAATGGCTATCTCCATAGGCTTCCATGGCTTCTGAGGGGGGGTGAAGAAAAAGAAGTAGGTTCATCTCACCTCATTTTGGCTATCTAGAATTTGGTATGTTCTCTAAGCATGTGATAACCCACAGAAAGAAGCAGACACTCTTAGCAGGAAACTCATCTCATTCCAAAATTAGTGTCTAAATGGGATGGGACGATTTGTTCGCTAGGAATGTCTGCTTCTCCAATAACTAGAATTAGAATGAGCTTACACTAGCCACTTAACTTTGAGAGAGCTAAAATTGTAGAACATACCAAATGGCTGGCACCATTGAGAGTCCTGACTGCGACACCTCAACGCTCACTGATCCAAAGCCTAGACCTGCTCCTGCCCCAAGAGGGCTACACAGGCAAGGTGCACCCATCCTCAGGTGGCTGCTGCAGGAGCTGATCTATGCAGTATCAAGAAATCACTGCCACTTTGTGACCTTATTCCTCAAAAGGAAAGGAGCAGCTGCATCACCACAGCTCCTTCATGAACTGCTGTGTTGCAGGCACAGTTCCTTGCTAAAGAACCAAAGGAATGGGAAGGCATGCTTGGAAATCCATAGAACCGCTGAGCAAACTAGATGTGGAGAGAGAGGGTGTCTCTCCAGGCACTTGGAGATGTCCAGAGTTAATTCATGTGAAACATCCTTCTTCATAAAACTGAGACCATGGGAGGCCCACCCTCTCCATTGAATACTTCCCCTTATTTAGAAGTACCCTGACCTTCCTCCATTCTGTTTTACTACACCTATAAAAGAAAATCCAAACAAACTATTTAAAATATTTACTTTCCTTTTTTACAACACTGTCAATATCCGGGCAAAAAAATGTTACTGCATGACAGGACCCCCACTGCCGTGCTTTAAAGAAAACTCCAGCCTTGCAATTGCTGTCAAATGTCACCAATAAAAACATGCTCTGAGGCAAGCAAATCCCATGCCCTGACTGACCAGGAAACTCTTCCCTGCCCTTCCCAGCTCTTCATGAAGCAAACCCTGCTCACTCTGAGAAATGAAAGCTGTACACGAGTAGAATATTCACTATCAGCTGTGGACTGCAAATAAAGAGGGAGTAAAAGAAAAGAAATGTATTATCTGGTTTTCTGTCTCAGTAATTTGCCTGAAAGATGGAAAAAATGGGAAATGAAATGTTTTACCTTTACAGAAAAATGCTTCTTCTTGGGTGGATGCCAGACAGTGGTGGTTGAATGAATGAATGCTCGCAGAGGTGTTAAAGATGTCACAAGCACATACGCTTTGATGATGACAGAAAGGTCTTGAGCTTTAAGGATGTCCTTGTGGTAGGGTGAACCTGATACATGATTCCTGGAAAGTAATAAAAATACACAGCTTTAATGAAGTGCTTTTGCAAATGAGGAAAATGAACTATAAGAATTTGATGAAATTGTGAAATTATCAGAAATGGGAAATTAACCTTTTTTTCCTCCAATTTAAGCAATACAGCAGATAAAACCAAGCAGGCTGGAAGAAATCATTACATCAAGTCTTTTTATTGATTTCAGTATTTTTAAATCCTATTTTCCATACATAGAAAATAACTATGTTAGGAGGGAGTTACATTTGAGAGTATATAGGGATAAATGCATTGTCGGCGTATTGGAATTGTTGCAATACAACCTGGGACATTCAGAGTGAAGGTAAAAACATTAAAGAAATCCAAGTAGCTTAAACAACCAATGTGCATTTAAAACAGATTTAAAACTGATTTACAGTAAATTCAGAAAAAAAAAAGAAAAAGAAAGAAAACTACAGAAAGATTGCACTACTGTTAGCACTTTCTTCAATGTAATAAAGAGACAGATATATGCAGTACTCCATGTTTTCCCTAATGAAAGCCACAAATTATGATTCCAAATATTGTGAAAGACTATGACACCAAGGAATAACCCCATAATCAATCAGATAATCATAAAACAGTTGTGAAAGCTAACTGTGTCTTGGAAGTGATGTGGCTCTCCAGATACTGGTCTACAAGCTCCCATAGTCCACACAAAAGGAATCAGCCATGCTTGTTACTGGAGGAAATCTGAGCTATATTTAGGCCTATTCACAAATGTGGTTATTATTCTGACTGTTAAAATCTTCAACTATTAGTCTACCCAAAGCAAACGCAATGAGGAGATGACTATACAAATTATGGGTCTCTGAGACTGATTCCTGATAAAAGACAGGTCTCCTTTCCCATTTCTGTGTAATCTTGTTAAGGAAGTTTAATAATATCGTCTTCAAGAGACCTTTCTCTCCCCTGGGCAGAATGGTAGGTCCTCAGCGCATAAAATTTGAGAGATGCTGTAACATAGGAAACAGCACATGGACAGCAAGCTCTCCAACCAGTAACATCTTTCGTATTTCATTGGAAGGGTCTCTGTGCAAAGGACTACATGTGTATGTCTGTCACAGGGGCAAGGCAAGGATGGGAGCAGGAAACAGCTCAGCCACCATGAGACCTAAACATTCAGGTGTGTCTCTGAGTCTGTATTTATCTGCCTAGGTGTTTCAGTGCCCTTCACACTTAGCTGTTCACACACAAAACGTGCAAGCTTGGCTAGTACAGAAACAAACATGAAAGTACAGGCTATGCAATACATCCGACTGCTCCATCTGCTGTGGTCTCCTCTGTTGCTATGTTCTGTGTCCCTGACTCCCAGACAATTGCAGGACGCAGCACTCTGGTTTCTGCAGGTGGTATATCATTAGCTTACAGCTGTGTCCTCCTGCTTTGCTTCTACTAGTACCTTGGATGGGAACCATGCATCTTGTCAGCGCTTTTGCTGCCCTGGGACACGTTGCTTGCGGTGCTGGCTCGTGACATCCCAGGCTGGCTGGAACACTCTGAGGTGACAACTGGGAGCTGCAGGTCTGAAAAAGCATGGAGGAGATGAGAAAGAAAGTCAACAGAGAATTGAAAGCAGCAGTCAACTCCTACTGTTAAGGATAAAATGTGTGAGCACAATAGGTAGAGAGGAGCATCAGCCAAAACTGTAGTATAAGAAATGCTGAGAATATAATCCCTTTGGATCTGCTAGAAGAGAGCTTTACACCTACCAAGCACACCCTTCCAGCTGCTAGCCCAGAGGCTTAGCTGAAACTCCCACATTATAGGTGAGTGCATGAGTGCTGCATACAAGAAGTGTTCCCTTCCCCCTTCTTCCACACAGAAATTCTTAATTTCTCAATATAAAATACCAAAACTTTGTTTCTCAAGTAGGTCTAATTACAATAATGGGGATAAGAAATTTGACTAAAGACCAAGAGGCTTTACCGCTGTGATCACACAGGCAGCTCAGTGAATAACCACATGTCCTTGCTTCCAAGTTCACTGTTTAAAGGCTGCATTTCGTAGCTGCTGAAATCTATGGGAGGTTTAGTTCTGCCACCACATGCAGTGGGAGCAGGAATGAAGTACCAGATTCCTCAAGATTACTGAGGCATGTGACTATTAATAGTAATCAAAATATTGTGATGTGAGATCAGTCAATGGGTGGTATGTATTTTCTGCTTTTACTGTGCTGATAAAAAGAGCCCTTATGTCATTATTTCATGTAGCATGCTTTTCATTAACTCTAACACACCTCACATTTCAAGTTCTTAAGTAATAGTCAGGGAGAAGTCAAGCTGTTCACATTATTCCCAAACCTTGTTACTTATCTTTTTAATGACATACTGCATCACGCTAATGATACGAATTTATTCGTATAACTTCTCTTTCAAAGTGTGCACTCTAGACTGTGGTACATAAAATGAAAAGTAAAACTGAAGTTGTATTGTTGATGATGTTGTGAGCAGCCATTCAAGGAAAAGGACTATTTTCATACAGATCCTGTTAAAACGACATTGTGATTGTCCGTGTTTATCAGCTGTTCATCAGACAAGCTCAGTTCAGTCTTCCAAGCTCAACTGGGATCTAAAATTAATCTGGTCCTCTGCCTTACATGCACCATTTAGCAGGATTAAATGCTTTACTAATAAAGACCAGGCATTTATTAATATAACACCTCATGTTCAGATTATACTCTCACTGGCATCTTTGTGTTGAGTTATGCATTATAGCCAGTCTGGACTTTAAGTGACTAGCTAGCTGTTTGTTGCTAGTACAGAGACAGAACAGGCTACTTTCTGCCTACTTGGCTGTGCAGTGATCACAGGAATAAACCAGTAAAAATCCCATTAAGTCTTTCATTTAACAGACTTGCTTCTGAATATGCACAGGGAGCAGATCTGATAAATCAAGTGCTTTTTTTCCCCGTATCTGCTTTATGAAGACACTACAGCATTTCACTATGGCAATTTCCACCCCTAAAGAGACAACAGCATTTCACCACACCAATCAGCAATGATCCCACAGCACCATTTTAGTTTCCTAACTGAAGTGCTGATATTAGCAAAATAGTATTCGTAGGCTTTGTCTTTAGGCAATGGAGACAGAGACCAGTTCTTGGAGCACTAAGAGAAATACTGAACTGAACTGTTATCTGAAAGGGTGTTTTTTCACCAACGGTGCCAGAAAACTAAGTTAGTTAGTTGCAGCTGCAAATAATTGCCAGAGTGTAAATTTTAATCAGACGGCTTTTGTGTTCAGGAAAAAAGCGAATTATTAAAACACATAAAGGCCTTCCACAGTGCAAAGGTGACTTCAGAGCTCTTTTTCTGATTTATTCTCACATTGGTAAAAAGGCAAGACACAGTGCTCAGCTCTCTATGATGTTATGGAGCCAAGCCCTGTTCTTGGTACTACAGCATATCCTGCAGTGCCCAGCACATCCTGGGAAAAGCCCAGCACTGCAAGACTCTGGAATTTAAATCTCACGGCCTAGATCCTCAATCACAAGATACTGATCTGTTGACCATGAGTAGGATCAAAGTCACATAAAATGCAGTGAAGCCCAAGACAGCACTCCAAGCTATGCCCTGCCAATGCTGCTTATGAGGGCAGACGAGAGAGAGGCAGTTGTACCACACAGCACACAACTGAGAGGAGGTAGAACTGTGCTTCCAGACCACGCTCCCTGTAACTTTTGCACCTTTTACATCAGGCCACACCTATGTGATGACATTAACAGAACCACGAAAGGACAAGAATGACAGTTCTTCTCAGATGATCATCTGAAAGCCAAATTACATCAAAGGTGCACATTCTTCAGCAGTTGCTTTAGGTAAAATGACCATAATGTCGAGAAAAGGGAAATGCACAAAGCATAATTTTCTTATTTCAGAGAAAGCAAATGTTTCACTGAAAATAAGAACAGGGCAGCAGAGAAAGGCTGTTCAGCTCATTACTTAAGAGAAAATAAGACTGTCTTTCCCTTTTTAAAATATCATTTTAATGGTGTTGCTAAGGCAACAAGTAACCAATATGGCATTAAGTCACAAGACAGAATTTGAAAAGAATGAGGTGAGGCTTGTACCTATATTTATCCCTCTTAAATGAGAGGTTTAGCTGTTCTAGAGAAATAGGAAAGATTACTTAGACATTAATTCATTTGTCACTACCAAGCGGACCATTTACTGGAGCTGGATATAACAAATTAAAAAAAAATTAAAATGGGTAGGGGCAGATGACAACATAAGTGTAATAAAATTCAGCAACTACTGCGTAGAAGTTCATCAGTACTGCCCTAAGTCACTGTAAACTGCCTCAATATTAAAGAAAAAAATGGAACCTGTGATCTCTTAAAGAAGAGAAGGTTAAACAAGTTCAGGGTGTTGGTGATTAGCAACAAGAACTAAAAATGGGGCAATGCTGGTAAATTATTCCTCGTGCTATACAGAGCATCATGTTTGCATGGTGCCTTACACGGCTCTGTTGATTTTGTGTTAGCATCCACTTGGAGAGAGCCAATTGCAAGGTGGCTGGAAGGAGGTGGAGGGGGAGTAAGACTGCCACAAGGTGCTTGCTCCTTTGGGATGACACACAGCATGTACACCATCAGACAGAGTTAACAGGGAGTGCCAGTCCTTCACTTTGGTAATTCTACTCCCAGTAATCAATGAATGCAATTACTGTTATAATAAAGAGACCTTAGTAGTGCTGAGCTGCAGCACACTCAGCTGCATCAGTTCTCATGGCAACTCTTCACCTGCTCTTGTACTCAAAAGCAGTAACAGTGTTTATTAGAGCTGTAAATTTGCTAATCAACGTTATCATCAATAAAAACAAGCCTGCAGTGCCTTCACTGTTTGCAGTAATTGCCATGTATTTCCATCTTGAAATCACTCTACAAGCTGTTGTTAATTAACCAGTCCTTTTGAAGTACACAAATAACATCAGCATTTTATAACAGAAGAGGTGAGGCAGGCTCAGCAGTTGTGTGTCAGGCAACTTGGGAAATCAAGTTAGAAAGAGTCCCAGCATCCCACTGGCATGTCCAGATTACATCCTCTCTTTCAAAAATCCAAATCCTAACATCAGTAATGTTTGTTGCAGACTCTAAAGATCAAAAGAAAGAAGACATAAACTAGAAAATAATATTTTTCCTTCAAAGTGGCTATGCAGTAACTGAAATGCTGTTTTTTTATGAGGACAAGCTACAGGCTTTGCCACAAGTACCTTTTGCTCCTGTCACTTGAGGTAATCCAGAGTAAAGCAAAGGACCTAAGGCTGGATACCTGCTTTCACTTAAGAAAAAAAAAAAAAGCTTCACTTCCTCAGAAGAAGCTTCTTATGCTGACATCTGAAATGATACCATTGTAAACACCGACAAACACCACCACTTTCCCTCTGCATAGGGTGTTCTCCATGACACCATTTTGATGGGTAAGGAAGCCGCTACAAGCTCTCAGCTGGATTCACACATTAGCCCTCTAACCACAGCAATGGGTAAAACATAGATCTGAGATATAGGAACATCTGGGGGCCATGTGTAAAAAGGAGGTATAAGGTCCACCAAAGCAAGTCAACACCTCTAGTTCAAAAAACAAAATAAGCATGTCTTTGTCACATGAACTGGTGGTAGATATTGTTCTGTCAACTGTGATCTCTCAAAGTACCAGAGTCAAACAGATCAGTTGACAGTGAAAACTGATATCTAATGCAGCAGCTACACTGGCAACTAATGAGGCCTTTCAAGTATTTTACACAGCTATGACTTCTTGCTCCCTCTCCCCCCATCTCCAGCTCCCAAGTTATTTACTTGACTTTGGCTCAGAGTTCTGAAGTGTAACATGAGACTAAACACATACACAATAAAGAATAGCTGATTTAAGAGTTACAACATGTGGCTGAGCAAAAGGCTTACCAACAGCTAGAAATACATTTGGGCAAATTAAGACTTCCTGGAGGAGAGCCAGGTCAGTGTTGACACTGCTGCAGCCATGTGGGCTGCTGGTAAATGGAACACTTATGTTAACATGCACATCTGGTGATTGCAAAGGTAAAGAATTCATCAGAAAACCCTACTGGTTGAACTAAGTTAGTAACACTCAACTGAAAGAAACGGAAACAGAATATGAATGAGAATGCGTCCTCTTCTTTATTCTTCCTTTTATAGTATGCTTTGATGTTATAAGGAGGGTTATGATAATGTTTTATTTGTTAATTTTATTTTACTTTGTTCAAGATCAAATAGGCTATATTTTATGTACTTCAAACATGGAGCAAGAAACAATTAAAACTATTGTCTACCAGGAAAAGGTCATTTTGCTTCTAAACTGCCCATCAACTGTCAGATCTGTTAGAAATGTTTCATGACTGACTGAACTACCTTGGGAGCTCCTGGTTGCTTAATGAAGCCCAAAGCTTGAGACAGGATCAAATGCAACTAAGGTGCTGTGCTTTGTTCTGAGCCCAGCACATTTCTCATTACTTTTATATAGGACAGTGTAAGCTTAGCACACTTGTTCTTGCAGTCTTCATCCAATTG